TCATAACACTGTGAATGTACTGACTGGCACTCAATTGTACACTTGATTAAAACAATCTACTTTATATTACGTATATTTTATAACAATAAAAGGAAAATAACTGCCAGATTCTCTTCTTCACTCATGGGGTGAAGAGAAGAAGATCCTGAGTCCCATCCATGGGGAAAAGAGCCAAGAACCAAGACAAGAGCAAGCATTTGAAGGGTCACCAAGGTGGGGGGAAGGCAGAGCTGAATTGGGCACCATCGATCATGGCTGGAGGGGAGCGAGGGAAGAGCAAGGGAACGGGAGATACACAGCACAGCTTTTCAGACTTCAAGGGACCAGCTACACTGTGGTATGCAGAGTGTGAGCCATAGATTGGAAAGGAGATGGCAAGTCTGGAAAAAGTGAGTCATGGGAAAGGAAAGAAAATGTCAGTCATCCACAGAGGAAAAGGATGACCACAGGCAGCATGATAAGGTCCAGAGGGCTCCATGTGAGGCTCATTGATAGAATCGCCAAGAGTCACCCCTGCCTATCACACCACTCTGCCCTCCCCCAAACCTCCTGTGATTCTGCTTCTGGATGCGTAGGATGAGGCATGTGGTGGAAAAAGACCACACTTTGAAATTTCACTGCCATCTCCCCAACTTTGTAGCAGTATGGACAAGCCAACTGATTTTTCTCTATCTCAATTACTTTCTTTGTGCAATAGGAACCCCCACTCATTGAGTTGTTAGCACTAATGAAATGGGCAGGTAAAGTGCAGCAGGCTCCTAACACACAGATGCTGTCTTTCTCCTTCTCCAATGGCACGTGTACACCCATGAATCATTCATTTCTCTTCTATTAGGCCAGAAAGCAAGAGAAAAAAAAAAACAGAAGTGAATTTTGAATAGAAAACAGGATCTATGACCCATAATGAATGTGTGTAAAAGATGAGTTTTATTAAAACCAGCGCATAAGCAGCTTTATTCATAATAGTCAAAAATGGAAACAACCCAAATGTCTATCAACAGTGGACTAGATAAATCAATTATGTGATATATTAAGTACTTACACTGCAGTAAAGAAAATAAAACTACTGACACACACAGCGGCATGAATGTCAACAGACATTATATTCAGCAAAAGAAGACACAAAATAGCACAGGTTGTGTGACTGTATTCAGATGAAGCTTATGAGTAGACAAAACTAACCAGTGGTGATGGAAGTCAGAATAGTGGTTAGCTTTGGGGGTGTTGACTAGAGAAGAGGACAAAAGAAACTTCTAGATTGCTGGGAATATTCTGTATCTTGATTACTTAGGTTTATGCATATGTGAAAATTCATCCAGGTATGTACTTAAGATCAGTGCACCTTATTATATATATTATATCACAATGAGAGTGGGAGGGGGGACCTGCCACAGAAATCTGTAAAGATGTACTGCCACATTGCCCTAAAACCTGAAATACCAAGCCTGCAGTTATACAAATGGCTCAAAAACCTTTTTGACAGAAAGTATAAAGATTGGGAGCAAAAGAAATATTTGGCCAAGCCTGGGGTGGGGGAGCCAGCTTTAAATGAAACAAGAATAACAGGTAGTGAAAGGTAGTGAGGAAAGTGCTTCCCTGGTCTTCCCTTAATAGTGCTCAATAAAAGTGTCCTTTAAGTTTCAGTTTTTATTACTGTCAATCATCCATAGTTGTTGTTGTTTTTTGTTTTGTTTTGTTTGAGGGGGGCGGCGGTTCTTTTTTTGTGGTGCTGGGGATTGAACCCAGGGCCTTGTGCATGTGAGGCAAGCACTCTGCCAACTGAGCTATATCTCCAGCCCCCCATAGCTGTTTTAATTGAGTCCATTTTTATAGGGAAAGCATAACTAATAGAAAGGTGAGTTGTAGGCAGGTCTAACATTTTTGACACTTTTTACTCACACATTATTAGAAGATGAACTATGTGTACTTTATAGCCTTTGCTTCTCTGCTGCTCTATACCTATGTCACTTCCTAAGCTCTTTGCCTGCAACCATATGGAGCTGCTACCACATCAACAGTGGTGCCATTTTGATGGTCTTTGCAGTGATCTAAAGATAGGACCCACAGAGACAAAACACAACCAGGAAAATTCAGACCCACTGAGGCAGGCTTTTCATATTTCCCAGCTCCTTTGGACACCTTTCCTATATATGGTAAATTTCCCACATTTATGAGTCCCTCCTCTCCAAGACTCATGTCAGAAAACAATCTTCCCTACCCTCTCTTGGAGCTGGAGTATAAACACATGATCCAGGCTCTGCCCATCAAATACAAAATACACATGACTTTAAATAGAACAAATTGAGAAGCAGGCACCATGCAGAATCCACCTTCTGGCAAGGGCAGCGATAATAGCTGCCAGCTTTGTGGGCAGCAGGAGGAGGTTTTGGCAGCAAAGATATAATCAGAGGTGCCTACCTCTTGGGGTAACATCAGAGGCATCCTCACAGGATCAGTGGCCACTGTTCCTAGGCACAAAGCCTCCAAGCCTAATTCTCCGGATTCTCCTGAAGATTCCATGAGCTATGCAATGACCTTAATAAATGCCTTCCTACCTAAAAGGAATAGAGAAAGTCATGCTGTTTGCACTAAGAACCCTAAATGAATCACCCATATGTCAGTCAGGGTTCTCCAGAGAAACAGAACCAATGGAGTCTAAGTTTCTCCTATAATTAAGAAACATATTAGATACATGCTAGATAGAAAGAGACAGATATAGAGACATAGAGCTATAGATATGGATATATCTTTAATTTTAGGAGTTGGCTCACACAATTGTTGAGACTGGCAAGTCTGGAGTCCACAGGGCAGGATGGCAGGCTGGACACTTAGGAGGAGTGGATACTGCAGTTGTGAGGCTGAATTTCTCCTTTGCCAGAAAATCGGTTCTTATTCTGAAGGCCTTTCAACGGATTAAATAAAGCCCACCCACATTACCGAGATTAACCATCAAAGTCAACCAACAGGAGAGGTTACCCACATCTACAAAAAATACCTTCACAGACACATCTATATTAGTGTTTGGTCAAATAACTGGGCACAATAGCCCAGCCAAATAGACACACAAAACTAACGATCACACTCACCAAACCAAAACTTCAGAATGAGTGTTCAAAGTATGGCCTTCATTCTGATGAAGCCTTCCGGGTGCTCTTGACATGTTTCCATTTGTAAAAATCACATGTCCAGCTCAAGGGAGGAAACCCCCTGCAACCCATCCCATCCACCCACCATCATCACAGCCCTTACCTGGCTCCAACTGCTACTGTGTCTTGTTTGGACCATGGCCAAGATGTCCCATCCTTCCTGCTCTCTCTGCTGTCCAATCCACCAGAGGCTACTCTTTCCAAACTAGTGTGGTTGTGTTGTCTCTGACAAAAAGTCCCACAGAACCGTTATACTCCTTCTGTCAACCCATACCTGCAGCCATTAAGGTTTGGTTGTAAGCAACAGATATCAAGTCTGGTATAAGCAAAAGAGAGACCCTTGGAGCAGTCCACAGGATGAAAGGAAAAGGTCAAGGCTTGAGAAGGTCAGGAATCTGGATCTTGGAACTAATGGACAATCTTTTCAGATCCCAGCTGCAGGGATGAATGAGAGGCAGGCACCTTCATCTCCATGCCACACCACTTCTCAGGAGCAAATGTTCAAGGCCAGGGAAATAGCCCAGGATCCATTTACAGACCCACGCCTGGGCCAGGATATGCTCTTGATAGAACAAGACTGAAGTTAATAAGAGAAGGCAGGAAAATGGCGAAGTAGGGGATCTTAGAAGAGGGGAAACAGATTCTGGGCAACAAGAACAAGATACAGCGACCACGCCTACTTCTAGCACGAGCAACTGGGGGAGCAGAATTCTGCATGCAACGGGGCCAGGACGGCGTGATTGGAGCAGCCCTAACCAACTACAGAGAAATGAAAATTTTCTGGACTATAAGGTAGTTGGCCCAGCCCCAATTTCCCTTGTCGATTCTGGGCCAAGGTTCTCCTGAGAAATGTTGTCCAAAGTGTGGCACATATACACCTTCCCAACCTCTTACCTCACCCCTCTGGCCTTGCCTCTCTCTTTCCTGGCCACAAGGGTCTATGTAGCAGGGTTAATAAAGGCCTTGGACTGGAACTGGAGGGAGAGGGAACTGCCTGCCAGATCTCTGCCACTCCAACTCTGGTCTCCAAGGTGAAGTTCAGAGGACAAAGCAGACGGGGTGAGAAGGGAAGTCACGCTCGGCTTGAATTTATCCTATCTCATTGTTTTCTTCTACCTGCCCCCCCACACTAGAATGTGAGCCCTATATGGGCAGAAACCTTATCAACAGTGATCATTCACTGTGTATCCTGAAGCTCAGCAAAGTAACTGGCACATCGTAAGCACTTAGGACAATAAACATTTGCGACTGAATGAATAGCTAGCGTGTAAGGTGAAGGTTACACCCACCCTGGGTCTTGACCCTGAGCCAGACAAGCAACATGAGGCCTGGCACTGAGTCAAACCAGGGATGAGAAGAACACAGGCTCTAAACTCCACTGGAGCTGGGGTCCAAGCCTGTCTAAGGCACCTGTGGGGCAAGCATGTCACTCGGCCACTCTGAGGCTCAGTTTCCTCTGCTTTGAAATGGGGATTACTTCACCCACATCATACTGTTGAAAATAAATAAGAATCAGGTGTACAGAGTTGGTGCACGGTCGTGCTGTCCTCCCCACGGGCCTCTCCTCTCTGTTGTCTATTCTGTCAGGGAGGAAGTTGTTTAAATCAACTGGTGGGAACAGAATGTGACATCTCCAGTGCTGAGGAATTGGTTATTTTAGAAGAGTGGCCGGGAAAAAAGGAAGTGCTTGACCCACAGGGAGAAATGAAGCACCGAGGTATTCAAGTGTATTCAAGGTCAGCCCCAAGGATCCCCATGGAGAACCTCTGGTACACCTGGCTTGGGGCAAAAAGAAAGCCACTTTGGTGTTATCTCTGCACTTGGGGAATGAGACCACAAGAGATACATAGCAGGTAACTTTGGAAAGAGAATTTTATTAGCTTCATGAGAAACAGCTGCCATGAGTCAAGACCTGGATGGGGACGGAGCTCGAGTGGCTTCCAACCAATGGCATGGAAAAGCCCATCTGTTCTCTCTATATCCTTGGACCAGGTTCCTAGTGGGGGTACCAAGAAGAACACCCCACTTCTTTGCCCCTCCGTGCAAGAACACATTCAGGCAGTGCATTCTAGTTGGTCATTAGGTCCTTCTGGTCTACGGCTATCTCACTGAACAGGAAAATTAATCAAATTAACAGTCTAGACGTTCAGGTCAGGACCAGCTTCTGTTCTGGGTCATCAACCAGGAGCACAACATTCTGAATCACTAATCATACCATCAACATTCTGGAGGGCCACCCAGATTCTAGAATGCAAAATAAGAACCCCCTAACTTACTGAAGATTTCATAAGGAGCTCTATAATCTAGAATGCCTATATTCCCAGAAATCTGAAATTCAAGGTTGTCAACCAGAAACCCAGTGTTCTGACAGGCCAAATGAGAACCACTCCTAACATTCTGAATGGTTAACAAGGAATTTGGCATTCTAGAGTGACAAAATCATCATATTCCAGAGAAGGGGTGAGACCCAAAGTTCTAAATGTCAACCCCAACACTTCAAAGGCCAAACCCCCAAACCGCCATTTTGGAATATCAATCCTGACCTCAGCATTCTAGAATGACAAGCACAAAGCCCTACCCTCCAAAAGACTGCTTCCTAGTCCCTCTCAGAGTTCTGTGGATGGTCGCTCTACAACATGTCCATTGTCCTGACTGGAGTTTGGCACTTGGAAGGACACATAGGGACAGGTCTTGGTGTTGAGGCAGACGAGTTTCTTCAGTGTGGCCGTGTTGACAATGTTGAAGCCTACCTCGCCACCGAATGTGCTTGGTTTCCAGTACTCTGGAGAGCAGATGGGATTTCCTAGAAGACCCTTAAGGGAAAAGGGAGCCCCGATCTCTATCATACTCTCCCCAAAAATGGAGTTCGGTAGGCACTTTTCAAGCAGCAGCCCCGGGTAGAATTCCAAAGCATCGATGTCTCCATACAGCTCCTCCAACTCAGCTGCCATCTCCTTCTCTCCTACGATGGGGAGAAGCCAGAGTCAGAGTCATAGTGCCACTGAGGTTGACCTTGGGAGGGAACTTTCTAGGCCTGTCTCTTTCTGGAGACAATGGAAATTCCAAAATTTGAACAACTGAGCAGATGCCCTACAAAATCTGTTCTCTCTGGAATTGGGGGAAAGGGTCAGAAAGAAAAATACAAATTGACCTTCATCCTGGATGGAGTTTAGGAAAGGAATGGCTACTGAAGAAAGAGTCTAGGGACCTAGATCTGTCACCATAGTGCTTGTGACCTCAAGCAATTCATCCCCCAACTATGGGCCCAAAATACCTGGTCTTTACAATAGAGAGTGTGTGGTCTATGTGGCTTCCTTCTCAGGTAGATTTTAAGACCTTATCTTAGTCCAAGCCCCTTTGTATACTAGAGTTCAAGGGTACAATGTAACATGTCCAAGTTCACACAGACATCCAGTGGCAGCCTTCTCTCTGCCCCTCTGGACCACTAGTCATGAGAGATTAAAGAATGACAAAGACTGCTTTTCTGGGATCATGGGGAACTCATCCACTGCTCCCAGGATGCACTCTGAGACCCACATGTTCACAGACAGTGACCAAGGGAAGGCAGCAAGGGGCTTCCCTACCTGTTCTCCATAAGGCACTGTACAGGGGGCATGTCACACCCTGCTCCAGTGGTTCCTCATCATCTGTGACAAGGGTTTCCAACATCTGAGAATCTTAGGGGGAAAGGGGTGTGTGTGTGTGTGTGTGTGTGTGTGTGTGTGTGTGTGAGAGAGAGAGAGAGAGAGAGAACATGCGCATATACACATGCATGCAGATTCTTGAACACCAGAATCCCTGGAAGAGTATCTGAGAAGTGAATTTTTTAAAATATTTATTTATTTATGTATCTTTTAGTTTTTTAGGTGGATATATTAGTTTGTTTTTATGTGGTGCTGAGGATCAAACCCAGTGCGGGTCGATCCTCAGCACCTCATGCATGCTAGGTGAGCACTCTACCACTGAGCCACCACCCCAGCCCCAAGAAGTGAAGTTTTGATTATTTTGGTTTTGAGGATTGAAGCCAGGGCCTTGAGCAGGCTAAAGACACACCCTACCACTGAGCTACAACCCCAGCCAAATTTGGTATTTTAATAATATTTCTAAGTGATTCTTATGCAGCTGTCCATAAATGAGTATTGAGGAACCTTGAGGCAGAATAAAACTTAAAATCTTTAGCATGAAATCCAAGATCCAAGAGTCTACAGTTTGGCACCAATGCACACCCCACCACCAAGTCCCATCTTTAACTGTTCTACCCAGTGGGCACCTGCTAATTGCTCTTGCTCTTCCTACCTAAATGCTTCTCCCTCTATTTTCCATCTGGAAAATTCCTATTCATCCTTCAAACCAGCTGAAGTCACCTTCTCTCCTCAAGTGGGGTCGTTTGCCACCACTTATGCCCACAGTCACAGTGCTAGCCACCTGTGTTGTCCCGTTCTGTTTCCCTGATGTCTCTCTCACTTTACCACAAGTCCCTCCAGGGCAGGGGCTATGGCTGGGAAATGGCTGCTCACCTGTGAGCTCCTGGAAGGAGGTGTAGGGCTTCATGCCAAACCTCTTGCGGTACTCATTGAAGGGCTGCAGCCGCATCTCTCGAGACTCCTTGATGACATCCACAGCCACATGAAGAATGTGGTGGTCTATGTTCCTACCCCCACCGATCTGCCAAGAGACAAGCGCAGCTGTTGGTCTGAGAGTCATGCCAGACCATCTGGGAGCCTGCATAAGGCCTTAGGAAAGAACCTCATGAGTTCTTTCCAAGTGAGGACAGAGAGCTTGGCTCAGCCCATGATGATGCTGGGGGTCTGGCCTAGCTCTGCCATGCTATGCCCTTCAGATTCTCAGCTTCCTCAGTTTTGAAGCTGACCTCTACAGTTTCTCAAAAGCTGCACTGTTCCCCACTCCCTTGAGTCACATCAACACATGGTATAATCCTGTATAAAAGGAGAGAAATAAGGTTCAAAGCCCAGATGACCTGATGAGGTAAGGAAAGAAGTCTCCAGAAAAAGATTCCAATTTATAGTATTTGAGGAGCATTGGTCTAAAGAAAACTCTACGGCTCAGATGAAATGACAATGTGAATGCTAAAGAGACAAGTCTGTTTCCACAGAACAAGTATAATTGGTCAAGAAAAAAGAAAAACACAGTTGAATGAAACTAAACAGCTTGAAGCAAAGCAGACAAAGGAAGCAGAGGCTGGTACCAATCCCAGCTCAAACATTTACAAGTTGTCATGCTGTTGTAGGTTGAATTTTGTCCCTCCAAAAGGTGCACTGAAGTACTAACCTGCAGTGCCTATGAATGGGACCTTATTTGGAATACATTTGCCTCCTTACCCAGTTCTGCTCCAAAACTATTTAATGGAAAATTCCAGAAATAAACAATTCATAAGTCTTAAATTGCGTGCTGTTCTAAGTAGCATGATGAAATCTAGCTCAGCCCCACTCAGTCTTGCCCAGGATGTGAATCATCCCTTGGTCCAGCATATCCACACTTTGAGCTCCTGGCTAGTCAATCACTTAACAGCTTCTTGGTTATCAGATCAACTGTCACGATATCAGGGTGCTTATGTTCAAGTAACCCTTCTGTAGAAAACTAACCCTGAATCATATGCTGTGTCATTCATCTCACTTCATCCATTGCAGAAGGGTGAGTGCAGTACAATAAGATATTTTGAGAGACAAAGAAGACCACATTCACATACTTTTATTACAGTTATAGATATTCTATTTTATCATTAGTATTACGATATACCTCTTATTGTGCCTATTTTATAAATTGAACATTATCCTAAGTATGTATATATAGGAAGAAACAGTGTACATAGGGTTCAGTACCATCTGAAGTTTCAGACATCCATTGAGGGTCTTGGAAGGTATCCCTCACTGATAAGTGGAGACTTATTTGTACAGTCTTTACAGATAGATGTAATCATCAAGTTAAGAGGAAATCATACTTGATTAGGGTGGGCCCTAATCCAATAAGTCTATGTTCCGGTATCCTCGTAAGATGAGAATAAAGACACAGGGACAACACTGGTGACAACAGAGACAGAGATTGGACTGATAGACCTATAAGCCAAGGAGCATTGAGGATGTCAGCAACTGCCGGAAACTCAGGGAAAGACATGGAACGGATGGTGCCCTAGAGCATTCAGAGAGAGCATGGCCCTATTGCTACCTCAATCTCAGACTTCTAGTCTCCAGAACAGTGGAAGAATACATTTCTGTTGTTTTAGGCCACCCAGTTTGTGGGGGACTTTGTTATGCCAGACAAACATAGGGACCTTGGGCAGTTATTGAGCTAACTTTGCGTTTCCTCATATGCAAAAATGGGGAAGGTAAAAGCATCTACCTGATAGATTATGGTAAAATAAATGACAGAAAAGATGCAAAGCAGTTGGAGTGTTGGTCACATGGTCACCCCCCCAGAGAGTGGCCTTGTGAGATGATTTTCGGGGAAAGCCAGATTTGATCACTTCTCATGCTCTTTGGAATATCCTGAGAGTCAGTGCATTTCTGTTGCCCTTTTGTCTTGTCTTTCACGTGCATTGTCAAGGTCATTCTTAATAAATTCTTTGGAAACCACACAGTCTCACACAGGGGTTATTGTCTCTATTCACATCTGTGTCCCCACAAAGAACAGAGGCCATAAACCAACCACCATAGGCTGGTGGCAGCATGTGCTAACTCCAGTTGAAATCCCAGAAGGAAGTCCAAGTCTATATGGTGCCACAGCTTCCTACCAAGACAATCTGAGTGACTCTAATCTGAGTGTCTCAACCAACAGAAATTTATTTCTTCAGGGTTTGGAGGCTAGAAGTCCAAGACAAAATTGTCAGGGAACTGGTTTCTCCTGAGGCCTTTCTGCTTGGCTTGCAGAAGGCCATCTTCACCCTACATCTTCACAGTCTTCCCCCTGTGTGTATCCAAATCTTAATCTCTTCTTAGAAGAATACCAATCATATTAGATTGTGGCCCACCCTAATTTCCTCATTAGCCTTGATCAACTCTTTGAAGACATTATTTCCAAATATTCTGAAGTTTGAGGGGTTAGGATTTCATTGTACAAATTTGAGGGAAGATAGAGTTCAGTCCATGACAGAAGTGTGGATCTAAAAAACACGATGTACAAGATTTTTCTCATGTTACTATACCCTGGATGTCCTGTTCCTCAATTGCAAGTATGATTCTAATAACATCAGAACAGCACTGAGCACCATGCCTCACATACAGCAAGTGCTCAAATAATGTTAAACTGTCATAGGATGATTATCCCTTTCTGAGGTGTAAATGCCAAAGGAACAAGGACCCAAGACTCACATCAGTCTTGTTCATCAGTATATCCTCAGCACCTGCATTAATAATGTCTGGTGTTATCAAATGAACAAATGAACAAGACAATTCATGAAGGAATGCCTATAATCATCCTTTTAAAGTGACAACACCCCCACTTTACAGGGGAAGGAACTGGGATTTGAACCCAGGTCTATGGAGCCCAGAGCCCTCCTGAACCCACCCACATGGCTCCCAGGCTTACCCGGCCAGCTTTCTGGCGAGAGAAGGCATCCACCAGGGCCTCGACCCCGTAGTCCACCAGCATGGAGGTATTGAACAAGAACTGCTCGTAGGTGTACTCTTGGGAGCCCACCTTGAAAGAGTCGGGCATGAGCGGATGCCAGTGGTAGAGCTGGTTGAATTCCACGGCGATGCGGTTTTGGTACTGGAACTGGGCTCTGAACAGCAGCTCTGGGTCAAACTTTAACTGCAGGAAGTAGCCACTCAAATGCTGCACATAATCCTCAATGACAATCTTGATGGTCTCCCCTGCGCAGGGGAGGATTAGAAATCGGGTCAGGAGAGCACAGTGACAAGATACCTGGCTGGCAAAGCATGCCCACTCACAAAAAGTGCTGCTTGCTATGGTATCCTTATTGTTGCTAATTTTATTTGGCCACTTCCACTTTGTCTCCTTGAAACAGGGTATGAAAATAGAACTGTCTATTTCTCAGGTTTGACCAAGGTCCCAAGACAGAAACACCACTACTCCCACATCCCAAAGGGAAGTTCTAGTCCCACGTAAGCTGAACATGCAAAGGAGGTGTCCAAGGTTTGGTTTTGCAACTCATGGGTGACCACCCTCCCACAGCCCACTAAAATAGGTTGGAGTAGATAAGTAGAGCTCGACTTAATGAGGGCTCTCTATACTGGCACCCTGGAGGGGACTTCAAAGAGACGCCCCCTGACAGCTGTTACAGCAACCAAAGGAGGGACCCTAAGGACAGAAGGTGAGCCTCTCCGTGAATATGTTTGAAAAAAATACATTTCTTATAGGTTTTTATATATAAGAATTCTTATGGATAGATTTTTTTTCCTTTTCCCTCTCAGGAACCAGCTACATAGTAAATATCAGGGAAGAAGCAAATTGAACATTCCATAACAAAATAAAAACTGGGGCCAATTAGATATTAAAATAAACTAATATTTTGACCAATTAGCCATTAAACACAAATTGGATTTTAGTAAACTGAACAGGAGCCACAGAATTTGGAATGAGCAGACCTGGGTCCAAATCCTAATTTCGCCATTTGTAGACTCAGACCAAGATAGTTAGTTAATCTCTCTGAAGATTCGTTTAATCTCTCTTTCCTTATCTGTAAAATGTATATTAATCTCAGGATAACAATATTCATTGAATCAGACCTATTTCAAGTGTCCCTCTGCTGAGTGGCATTGGAAAATTCACTTAATCTCTCTGAATCTTAATTTTCACAAGTGTAATCTTATCTGGTTCAAACCAATAACGTTTAACTGTGGTGGAGTTACATGAAGCCCTGGATGTGCAGTGCCCTAGGATTCCCGCCTTTGGCCTTCAGAACCAGCTAGTGCAATGAGGGCCTCCAGCCTTACTCTTGCCCTCTCTGGTCAAGGTCTCTTCAGGGCTGGAACTTTGGAATCAGCCCCTCCACCCTCTTCGGGCAGTTCTTGCCTTCTAGGCTCCAGTGAATTAGGCACTATAATTGGGACCAGTCATGCCCAGTAGTGCCCAGAAGTGGGGGCAGGGGCTGGCTACTGGTGACTCAGAGAGACCATGTCTGGACAGGGGTGTGAGGAGCTAAGCTCCCAGGCAAGAAGCCTTCTGACATTTTAGGTTGCAGACTCGCCCCCGTAGGGAACACAAAAATATCCTGTCCCTGAGTCACCTAGAAGCTGCCCAACTCCAGAAAAGCAGACACATGCAGAGCAGGAAACAGGAAGATGCCTGAAGGCTGGGCAAGCAGGGGTTTGACCCTGTGTGTGCTGGGGACACCAAGTGTGCATCTGGGGGGCTGCTAATCAAATGTGCCGTGTGTCACTCAGTTCAGCTCATCATCAAACACCACAGTCACCCATTCTCTGCAGACCTACTAGGTGCATCCCATTCATCAACTCAGCACACCCTTTCAACCATGATCCGCCCCCAAGTACAGATTCCAGGACTGAGGCTCACAGACCTGGAGCAGCCTGCAAGCAGTTTCCCGGCAGGTAAGCAGAAGAGCCAGGATTCTAACCCCGGCCCTGTGTCTCAGGACTGAGCAGGTGGCCATCCTGGGCAGGGCTTGTTCGGAGGCCTCACCTATGAGGATGAGACGGGTGGTCTGGAAGAGCTGTTCATCATCCCAGGTTGGGTGCTCGGCTTTCAGCAGGTCACACACGCGGTTGTGCTCACGCAGCCAGAGTGTGGCATAGAGCATGAGCCCGGGAAGCAGCCCAAACACCTCCTGGCCCACCGCCATCTGGTTTTGGGGCGGGATGCCCCGTGGGTAGTGCATCAACACCGGAGCCTGGTCCACCGAAGGCGGGTACATCTCCCCATCCAACACCTGTGGGATGGAGTTGCCTGGCAACCTGGGGGCGGGGCATCCGCAGCGCCCAAGTCCCCACCCCCACACTTCAGCTGCTGCCTGACCTTTACCAAGGCTGTCAAGTCTACCTCCCGAACCTCTCTTCAAATCAGGCTCCTGCTCGCCAACTCTGCGAACACCACCCTTGTCCAACCCACCCTCATCTTCCTCCCGGATTCCACTCCCTAAATGGGCTCCCTGTGTCCACTCTTTACCCCACATAGTCCATTCTCTACACTGAAGTCAGCACCACCTTTTAAAAGACTCACATCTAATATCCCTCGCAGGCTTGAAACCCTTCCAAGTCCTCTCTCTGATCTTAGAAATCAGAAATCCTTACTATGGCCCCCTGCAGATATAAACACCCTCATTCAGAATCTTACATTTGATTGCTGGGTTCAGGAAATATCTTACATCCCCTCCAAGTCACCCAAGCTGCTTCCTGCCTCCAAGCCTTTGCACACACTGAACCTTCTACCTGGAGAGCCCTTACCCCTGCTTGGCCTCCCTAATCCCTCCTCCCTTTTATGCAATTCTCTCTTTATTCCTAACTTCCTAGAGAAGCCTTCCCCACCTCTGAACACTCTAAAAGCACCCACAGCTTCTCCTTAGTGGCAGCTGTTACCAGTGTAAATGGTTATATGGCAGTTCCTTCATTAATTAATTCATTCATTAAATAAAACTGATGAACTACTACATGCCAACTACTGTTCTTAGTCCAAAAGATTCAAAACTTTGTTTTGGTTTTTGCTCATTTAGATTTACAAAATCCAATAAGGTAGCCACTAGCCATGTGCAGATCTTAAGTACTAGAAATTTGGCTAGCGTGAATGAAGAACTGAATCTAATTTAAATTTTATTTAGATTTTTACTAGATTAAGATTTAAATTTTAAAACTGATACTGCAACTATTGTAAAATCTTTAGGTATGTTGAGAACAATTTGGCTATGTGAATCTACTTAACTATAAATTTTATAGAATCTAAATACAGATATTACCAGTGAAAATTTAGCATCCAAACTAAAATATTCTTCAAGTATAAATATACATCAGATTTTATAAGATTTAGTTTTAAAAGAGTAGTGTAAGATTTTTTTTTTCAATACCAGGAGTTGAACCCAGGGTCTGGTGCAAGCTAGGCAAGTACTCTGCCACTTCTGCATCCCCAAACCTTTTTTAAAATTTTATTTTGAGACAGGCACTCCCTATATTGCCTAGGGTGACCTCAAACTTGCAATCTTCCTGCCTCAGCCTCCTGAGTACCTAGGATTACAGATGTGTACCACTGTGCCTGGCTGAGGACTTTATTAATAATTTTTGTATTGATTGCATGTTGAAATAATAATATTCAGAAATACCATATCAAGTAAATATACTATTAAAATCTATTACACCTGCTTCTTTTTCATGGGGCAACTAGAAGATTTAAATTACCTATGTGGCTCACATTATGTTTCTGTAGGACATTGCTAGTTTAGACAGGAAGTTCTCATGGAACTTACCTCCTAGCATTTATGTCTGTGGCCCCTGACAGGTTGAGGTTTCCTGATGACAGGACTGCTCAATCACTTGTGCAAGGCACATCATGGCGCCCAATTAATATTGTGGAAAAATTAAATGAATGAATGCAAACTACAAATGTTTGAGACAGACAACCAAACCCCTCCCAGCAGGACACAGGGTGCCAGGAATGTTCCTCATTTGGTTTGCGTGACTGGCACTCCTTCCCAGGGTTTACTTACTGTCTCTTCTCCTGGCACACATCTCCAGCTCCCATGGCTGGCCCTTTGCGGACATGTCTCACCCTTCCCCACAGTAATTTGTGCCAGGAAGACCATGGGAGACCCTTCCCCCCGCCCCACCCCCAGGCCCAGCACTACCTGGTACTTGAGTTTCCCATCCTTAAAGAGCCGCAGGTGATACTGGCGTTCCAGATTGTCTCCATAAATGTGGCCCAGGTCTACCTGAGGACAGAGAGAGGTCCACTCACATCACCTGAGACCTGCCCCACCAGTAATGACCCGCAGGTACCAGGATAGGTTCACAGCAGTCCTGAGCCCCTCCTACATACTCACCCCATGGCCCAAGGCCTTGGTGAAGCCAGGACCCATTTTGCCAGAAGTTTTGAAGAACTGATGGGTGAAGTGTTGTGCAAAGAAGGCAAACATGAGGTTGGTGCCTTGGGGGTCAGGGATAAACTTCCTCCTGAGCAGGAAGCGGTGGCCCAGGAGCTGGGCATCTGGCAGCTGCTTCTTCCCTGGTGGCAGAGGTAGGAAATATAGCTGCCCGGATCCTGTCTGGGTCTTCTTGACCTAGGGATTTCTGGGCTCACCAAGCAAACTGGCCCAAGCAGGACACCCAGAGCAGCCTCCTCTGGACCACCTCCCCACCCACAGCAGTCCCTGTACCCTCTCTATCAAAAGACGTAGAAGTATTTATGGGTGATATTTGAAACTGATATCTGGAATCTGCTTTAAATAAAAATTAAATACTTCAATGAAAACTAAGATGGAATAGATGCAATATGATTGGAAAGCTGTAGTACTGAAACTAGGAAATGGGTACATAGTTCATTAAACTTTCTTCTTGACTTTTGTGTATATTTGAAATTTTTCCATAATGAAAAATTAACCACCCCCCTCCACACACAGGACTCAATTCCTGGCCCTGGAGCAAGGTATCCTGTGTTTGCAACTGGTAATGACACCTTCTTACTATGTGAACATAGATAAATCATCTCATTTCTCTGAACCTCAATTTCTTCATCTGTAAAATAGGGCAAATGATACCTATTTTGTAAGTGGATTTGAGGAACTTCCTAAGATGATGTAATCATGACAGAGAACTAGTGAGGTTGAATCTTTTTGACCAAGAGTCAGCAAACTTTAAAAAAAAAAAAAAAGCAGGTAATAAATATTTCAGGCTTCACAGACCACATGGTCTCTGTCTCATCTATTCAGTTTTGTAGGAAACCAAATAGCAGGGAAGCAGCCAAAGATAACCCACAGACAAATGAATGTGACTGTGTTCCAATAAAACTTTATTTACAAAAACAGAGGGCGGGCTGGATTTGGTTGGCAGGCTTTTTAGTTTGCCAACCAATTTACATGATGCCAGACTTTCTGTCTGAGGCTTAAAAAAATCATCATGAAGCAGGTGCCTGTCATTATGAGAATACATACTGAGAGTCCTTAATTATGAGTTGGCACCAAATCCCCCTCACAGAAAGGAATAATAGTTTTTTGGTTTTCTTTTTTTTTTTTAATGTTCTGATAAAGGTGTCCCTTCACCACACCTCATATAAGACTCAATGTTGAAGATTACAGAAAATGGAAACTCTTTGAAATGACATAGCCAGCTGGATTTCTCTGACAGAAAGAGATATCAAGTACCCCAAACGAAGATCAACAAAAGGAAAGTTAGAGGGAGTGGTTCATGACCCATAATTTGGAATCCTCACTCATTGACAATGGGCAAAAATTGATTCCAGCAGTGTTGGCAAGATCCAGGTGTGCTGGGAAAATAAGTTATGCTTTGGGAATAGTAGCTAACCATGTGCGTGAAAGCCATAGAGACCCAAGCCAGGACTTCAATACCTATGCAAGGCTTGAAACCTGCAAAAGTACGGCCACCAGGCTGCACAGAAACAGCTTCAGCAGCGACACCATGTGGTGGGAACTGGAGCAACAGCAGTGGTGGAATGATGAGCCTCTCTCCTTTTCTTGTTCTTGAAGCGGAATTGAACTGAATAACTCTGAACTGAGTAACCCCCAGGCTTCTGGATCATTAAGGATGGAGTGAGAAGAAGGTCTTAGAAGGAAGACCCTTGCCAATGAGGCCAAGTGGGTCTTGGACAACTAAAGAAAAACCCTAACCTTATTTGAACTTTACCCTGGTAAAGCATGGGAATGATTTACGTTAGTAAAGAACCAACACAAAGTTAGGACCCAACACAGCACCCCACTCACTCCTCCCCACATTTCCTCATCAAGTCACCCCTACCCCAGCAGAGTCCCCCTCATCAGTAGATAAGGTTCAGGCAGAGAGGTACCCTGGAAATAGGGAAACATTGGTCTCTCTCTGCCTCTGACATTTTTTAGGTGACCTCAGGCCTAACCCTTTGCTGTCCTTTCCTGTCCTCATCCCTGGTTCTGGATGTGTCAGCTGTCTTGCCTTGGTCTACCCATCCGTGAAATGGGTCAATAATTGCTCTTCTACCTCCATTTTGCCAACGAGGAGAACTGAGCACCCCATACAATCCCCAGGTACAGCTCCTCACCCCTTCCCATTACCTTTGGTCCCCATCGGCGTTGGGCAGTCTTGGGGCACAGAGGGCAGAATTTGGGTGTAATAGCTCGCATTGGAGAAGGACTCCCAGCTGATGTAGTTGTACGCTGTGTTGTACGTGGGAGGGCTGGGGATAAGGTTGGAACGCACTGCAGGGTGAAAATAATGGTGACAACAGTGTTCACACCCCAGCTGTACCCCCTTCCCTCCTCCTCTTGGGCTGGGGCTTGTTTTCTCTGGCATTGTAGAGTCTCCCCACCCGCTGCCTTTATCAGATGCCAAGAATCGCAAGAACTGGCAGGAGTTCTTGCTCCTCCGATTAGGGAGGCCCTGCCCCACACCCACCTGTGAGTACCAGGCGCATGAGCGTGTCTCGGATGAAGGTGGCATTGACAAACTCCCAGAGCCAGCGCCCGTGCGTGAGCAGGAAGTGGACAAAAGTGGGGCTGGGCCGCAAGGAATTCCGGAGCCAGGTCCAGAGTCCAGCTGCAGGGGTGGGGGGAGCCAGTCAGTCAGCCTTGCCGGCAGAACCAGAAGTAGCCAGGTGGCAGGTAGGGACTGGGAATGAGGGCCCGGAGGGAACAGAGTAGTACTGGTGGGACAGGGGTAAAGATGGAGACATGACAGAGCCAAAACCAGATGTGGGGCCAGGGGCCAGGGCCGGGGAGGGGGTAAAGAATTCCCACAGAGCCAGAACCAAGGAGTGTGGGAAGACCAGGAGCAAAAGCTCATGTAGAAGCCAGGCCAGCGAGAGGGTAGAGCCAGGCAAGGAAGAGAAGGTGGCCATGGACAGAGATGAGAACAGGAAACGGGGTCTGGGAGGAGGGTCCAGGGGCAGAAGAAAGCTGAGGAGAGGAGGGGTGGGGGTGGGGGCCTGGCTCACGGATGGTGCAGTTGGGGCCGGAATAGCCCGTGCGGGTACAGTCACACTGGTAGCGGTCCAGGCCGAAGCGGACACAGACACCCTGGTTCTGACACGGATAGTAACAACAGGGGTTCACTGTGGGTGAGAAACACGTGTCAAAGACCATGTGGGGACTCCTAACCCATCCAGCCCTAAGGGGGAGTGAGGGGCCCGAGGAATGGACTTGGGTTGCAGCTCTGTCCTAAATCAGGGGTAGCCCCTCTCTGTGGACACTGAGCGTCCCGTCCCCTAAGGGTGCCCTCTCCCCAGTTCCCACAACCAGGAGCATAAATCCCCATTCTGCATTTCCAGGCCCAGCTGCAGCCCACATTGGGTCCCAAGGGATAGTCCCCTCTTCCTCCCTGCTGCCACCAAAGGGGGCAGAGGAAGAGTCCAGACCCCCAGCTTTGTTGCCAAGGCTAGGAAATAGCTGATAAGAGGCTGTGGCCACAGGCTCAGGGAGCAATCACTTCCTGCCGAGTCAGAGCCCAGCACCAACAGCGGGGTTTGTAGGGTTCAGAAAGGGGACAGAGATGGGGGTGTTCTTCCAAACTAGCCCCCAATTTCTGAGCACCTGGACACTAAAAAAATGAGATCTGCCATCACAATGCCTACTTTGCAGAAGGGGAAACTGAGGCCAGAAAAATGGAAAGCCAGAGAGGATAGCAGACAACGGTCACACCAGACCATGCCTTCTCCTTCACTCCCCCACCGCCCCCGCTGGCTGGACAGCAAGTCCAGGGAAATTTTTCAGACCCTGGGGACAGAGTGTGCACTAGAGAGAGAAGGGAAACTCCAATGCCCCACATGCCTCAGCCCCCATTCCTGAGAGGCCCAGTCTTGACCTGTCAGGGTCCTGTCTGCACTCTAAGATCCTGAGGAAGGTCATGGACCAAGGGAACAGGAGAGACATGGCCAGCGAAGTCTCCGGAGAGGGTGAGTGGAGCTCAGTAGCCGCCTCCTTCCTCCTGGAGAAACCCCCAAGTTCCTCCCTGCATCTAATCCAGATCCCTGTGGCCACCCACCCTGACCTTGCTCAAATCTACACCACCTCAGTGATTCTTTAGTGGCAAAGTTAGACTCTTGAGGCTTATTCAGGTCCACCCCACCCCCCACCTCACAGAGTCCCCCTTGCCTGCTCAGCAGGAGAAACCAAGGCTAAGAGAGAGATGGAGACTTGGCCAAGGACACACAGCAGAACCAGGTAGACCCTAGACTCCTGGCTCCTGGCAGGAGGCTCCTTTCCTGGCCTTCTGCAGAAAATACCAGAAACCCTTCTGCAGACACTTCTTTAACTGGGCTCGGAGCCAATGGTATAGGGAACTCTTACTCTTTGTGCAACTGATCAGCGGGGGCCAAGAAGGTAGCAAAAGTAAGAGCAAACTGGTGTGAGACGGTCAGTCAGCGCAGGGTGCCAGGGTCAAAGGGCACTACCTTGGGCAAGTCCTGGCCCTCCAGTCTCCATGGCCTCTCGTCACAGCACGGGGTTTAGCCTGGGCAGCAGCTTCCTCCTACCTGCCCCCCACCCAAACCGCCTTCTGAGAGGGCCCCCAGCACCCCCCACACACACAAGAAAAAATAGCAAGACTCATGCAAAACGTTTTGCTTAAGCCCTAGTGATGCCCCACAGTCTCACAATGGCATCTCTGCGGCCAGCGGGGGTGTAGGAGGAAGGGGCCTAGGGGAAGAAGGCTGGACAGAAAGGCCTTATCAGGCTGCCACAGGCAGACCTGGCAGGCAAGACCCAGGGAAGGGGCCTCCCCTTCCCATGGCCACAGACCCAGAAAGGCCAAAGGGGCTCAGGATCGGTACTCCAGCTGGCTCAGGAATGTGGTCCCCCTCCCCGCCGGGATGCTCCTCCTTGATCCCTCCTGCCCAATTCACCTGCCCAGTAGCCCCTGGAGCTCCCCACTGCCCAGCTCCCAGTGATAGCAAGGCTCTCTAGCACCAGAGGTGCATGGGGCTAAGGCCAAGCCTCCCCTGGGCTCCAGGTCCCCATTTCCACCACAGCAGGGTTCTCAACAGGGTCCTGAAACTCAAGCATGCTGCCGCAGCCCCTCCCTCACCACCCAACAACCAAAGGCTTCTCCATCCTCATCCAGGTTTTGATCCTCCAGAGTCTCTTCCCCATCAACTGGACCCTCCCTTGGAGCCCTCACCCTGTCCCCCAAAGCTCCCCCCAATGTCCCCACACTTACTCCTCCCACTCTCCCTCCTCCTGGCTGTTCTCCACCACAAGCTTCCAAAAGAGGGGGCCACACCTTCCCCAGGGTCCTCCTCCCCACCCAGGCTGGGCACACAGCCTAGGCTCAGCCCAGGAACTAGGGGGATCCGGTCACTCAGGGAGCCAGATGAGGTGGCCAGAGCTTAACAAATGTCTGTGGAATTAATAAAAGGACATGAGGAGACTGGCCACTCCCGGGTTAGCCTTCACCCTCGCAGCCTACCCTCTGAGGCTAGAGGCAAGGCCTCCTGCTGTGCCCCCAGTTCTGCCCCTCCTGGGCGCTCAGGACCTTCAGTGGCTGCCCACACAAGGCCCCGCCCCTGCCAGGAGGACCCCTCCCTCCTTCCCCATCCCAGCTCTCCTTTCTCCTCCCCAAGCTGTTTCCATAAACTCCAGCTTCCCAGGACAAGAAAACTCCTGCCCAGTGAAGACAAGAGCCCTTGAGCCCCAGGGTGTCAGGGAGGAGACTGGTGCTGCTTGACCACAGCTGGACTGTCACCGTAGGGCTAGGAAGCCAGGGCTGTAGCTGAGCAAGTCTATGACCTTACATTCCTACACCCATTTATCTCCCCAGCACTCCCTAGGAGCGGGGAGGCCTCCCCATTGCACAATGAGGAACACAGGCCCAGAGGAGGCTGGAGACCTGCCGGAGCCCCTTGGCTTCCAAGTTGCAGAGCCAAGGCTTGAAGCCCTTTCTCTTCCCTCGCCTCCCCTCCCACTCCTGGAGGTGCCCAGGTCTAGATCTGGGGAGGAAAGGGAAAGGAGAGTCACTTTGATCCACAAGCTGGGAATGACCACTGGTGAGGTAGGTTCGTCCCTGTTCCTTCAAGATAACCCTTGAAAATCCTGAATGTGCAAAACCAAGACCCCAGTGATCGCCATCTCCTGATGCAACCAGACCTCCAGGACCTATTCATATGGAAGATTTCATTGAGTCTAGCTTCAATCCTGCATGTTTTCATTCCAATCCAGCTCCGTGCTCAATACAGGACACCCCTCCATCAAGGTCTCCAAGTGGGGAGGTGCAGGCACTGGTCTAGTTCACCTTGAATCTCCCTCACCCAGCACAGGCCAGGTATACCACATAGGTATACAGGAAAGGTAAATTAGAAAGTTACTATTCTTGTTGGCTGTGTGTCCTGTGTGTCCTTCAAGTCCCTTGAACACTCAGGGCCTTATTTTCCTTGTATGTCCTACTGAGGTGATGGAGCAGGCAGCTCAAAGGCAGCCTTCCCTGACCTCCCCGCCACATACACACACACGTAGGTGGAGTCAGTCTAGCTCTCTCCATCACTCTCATCAATGTCATCTCCACGTCCTGCCAGCAGAGAATTCTACCCCCTACTCTCGCTGAGGGCAGAGACCCTGAGGCTGCCCATAGACACACGGGCCTGGAGGTCAAGCCGGGCTACGTTCCCGCAGACAACCACTGTCCAGGACCACCTGGCTCCAGAGCCCTTCCGAGGATTTCGGCAAGAAAATGCCCCCAGCCCAAGAGCTGGGGCTCTGGACACAGGGCTGAGCGTGACTAGGAGACAGGCACAGCCAGGGAACACCAAGTCCTCCAGGATGTGGAGGCGGCAGGCAGCAAGAGAAGAGGCTGCACCCAAATCCCCTAAGAATAATATTTAGAGAAATCCACGGGCCTGACAGCCAAAGGGAAAAACTGGCCCCGAGTGGCCAGGCCCCGGGCAGCCCTACACCTCGCTGGGCTGGCAGCTCGAGGCCCTCACAGCCTAGCCGGCAGCTGGAGGAGCCCCGCTAGAGAGGAAGCCCCTCCTGCCCACAGGCCCAGCTGGTACTGGAGATTGGGAGCAGCAGGCTGCAGGCAGAGAGAGAGCCAGCACAGGCTGGGTCCCCACCCCACATGCCAAGGTTAGCTGGCCCTGGCTGCCCCACCTGGCACACAGCTCGAGTATCAGGTCGTGCCCAATCTATCCCTACCTAGGAAGAGGTCACAAAGCCAAACTCGGGAGCTGGAGGGAATGAAATTGAGTATTACAAAGCCCCCCGACACAGCCTTCCCCCCGACCCCGAGCTGGGCCCCATCTCTTCCCCTACATAGAGCAGAAGCCACACTCCCTGCGGACACCTGCCCTCTTGGGTAAGTCTGCAGCCTGGTCTTCTCATTTCTTGTCTCCTTTGACCTCCTCTGGGATTAGAAAGCCACAGACTTCAACTTCCTGGGGCAGATGCCCGGGTAGCTCGGGCTTGAATTTACTCACAGGGCATCCAAACCTCCTGCCCTGCACCCCATCGGCCATCCACTCTTTCCTTGAGCCTTGCTGGGTTTCTTGGCCCTCTGACTGGGTTCCTGGGCCTCCAGTCCTGCCTCAAGTCATTCATCCATCCTCTTTCTCTCACTCCCAATGACCCTCAGCTCTGGTCCCAGCTTCTCATGCTGCATCTGTAGGCCCTGTCATCCAGCACCTGCCTCAGGTCCTATGGCTCCCTACTCTCCCATCTACCTCTCAGTTCCTTGCACCTTGGCTCATGCCACTGCTTCTACCACAAAGACCTTTGTAGTGCTTCACCATAGTCCTGGTGTCTCTCCCACCTGCCACCTCCTTCAACGTCCAATTCAAATGTCACCACCTCCAAGAAGCCTTCCTCAATTCCTCACATTGAGAGGCAACTACTCCCCCTCAACTACTCTTAAGCCCCACCCCTTGCGTTCCTAAGCCATGGCCCTTGATCCCCTGGATAAACCGCTGTTAGCATTTGTCTCTCCCATCAGACTGTGCGCTCCTCCAGCCTATGTCTCCCAGCCCCAGCCAAAGACTGACAGAAGTAAGCCCTCGGGAATGAAGAGAGCAATTCTGTTGAAACGCTTATGATTAACAAGTAGAAAAAGTTAAAACTATACATATATATGTGGCTCAGGCTGTGGCTTCTTGTGCATCTCTGGTCATCAGTGCTCTGTCCTAGCAAGGAAGATGATACCAAGAAAAATCCAGGAGTGGACAGGGATAAACTTGAGCACTACGGATCCTCTGGCACAGCCTTGCCCCCCAAGACGGACTCCATCTCATCCCCCACAACAGGCACAAGCAACAAAGAGGCTGGACCCAGAGGCCTGGATGGGGTCAGATGGGACCTTAGAGAAAGGACTGGGCTCATCTGGGGACTAGCAAAATAGATCGTGGAGACAGCCTGGTCAGGCTGCTGCTCTGCCAGCTCACTGTGGGGCCTCAGACGAGTGGGCTCACCACCTCTGGACCTCCAGTCCCTCTTCCATAAAATGAGCCAAACACATCTCCTTCGCGGGACTGTTGTGAATTCCACAGAAGTCGATGCCCACAGCAAGCCTTTGTAAACTGTAAAGTGCTGGCCACATGGATCTTCCTTCTCCTCTTTCCACAAACCAGGTTTTTGCTGACCCAAATCCTTTCCTAGAGCCTCCATCCTTTCCTTGGCTTCCCCAATGCCATCAACTCAACCAGAGACCTGGTCCAACTCACAGCCCATGTAGAAACCGTTCCTCTCTCCTCTGAGCACCAAGTTCCTAAAGCATAGGGGCAGAAAGCAAGACCACCCCCCTCCTTTCCTGTCCTTTCTTAGTCCCATTTTACATACAGGAAATGGGAACTCAGAGAAGGATGGGCCAGGCAGGTGGTGGGGGTAGCTGCATTCCGAGTGTGCAAAGGTACACACACACAAACACACACACACACACACACAGTATAAGCTGGGGGAGGAAGACTGGCTGGATGAGGAGTGAATTCCTTCACCTGGCTCATGCCTGTGGGAGGGAGGGATGGAACTGCATAGAACTTGACTTTCCCCATAGTACTTGGTGATAAAATCAAAAGAGTTTGGGGCGGGCACTGCCAGCAGCCGGTAAGGGGAGCTTTCTGTGGAAAGACTTTGCAGAGTGCCTGGAGTCAGAGAGTCCTGTGTTCAAATCCTGAGCCCGCCATGTACTATGTGAGCCTGGGAGTGTCTGCACCTACTAAGCCTCAGTTTTCTCATCTGCTCAATGGAGACCTCATAGGTGAGGGAGGATTAAACCCCGGGAAGAGAATCCTGGCTCTGTAAATGAATGTCCACCTCCCATCCTCGCGGAATGGCTGATATAGTGGGGTCTTCACCAGGGGACACCTTCTCTACTGGGGCTGGGAATTAGGATAATTTCCCAGAAAATTAGAGGCTGCAGAAAGGGAACTCGTTGGTCGGCCAGCTTTTGCCTCAGCGCTTCCTGCAAAAGAGGCCCCTGCAGGAAACGGCGGGCTAGCCGGGGGAGCAGGCTTTTGCACAGCTGGGGCCCAGAACAGGTAAGGGGTCTGGAGAGGGGCTGTCCCTGCTGCCCCTCTGCCGCCGGCACGATTCCCTGCCTACCATCCCCTGTCCGGCGAAAAGAGCCTGGTAGTCCCCCAGCCACGGCCACACCCCGGGGGGTCTCCATCCCATCAACGGACTCGGCCCCCTCCGCTTTCGCAGGCGCTGCCCAGAAAGGGGAAGCTGTGCCCGCTGGAGGGGAGACGAGGGGCTTGGACCAAGCCAGGGGCGCAGCACCGGGCGCTCCCGTGGGCGCGGAGGGCGCCGCCTACCCGGTGCGGGCGCCCCAGGGTCCGCCGGCAGGACCGGAGACGGCGGGAGCAGGAGTAGGAGCAGCGGAAACCGGAGCGAGAGACTCCTCCCTGCAGAGGAGAGAGACAGGGCTGAGCCTGGCGTTCAAGGCTCCGCCGGGAGGCCGCGAGGACGCACGGGAAAGCGGGGTCCCACTCACGGCTCATGGCGCGGGGCAGCTGCGGGCGCGCGAGCGGACGGCCGACTGCGGGTGCGTCCTCAGGCTGCCCCAGCTCGGCCACCCGGCCCGCCCCCTCCCCACCCATCCCGGGGCTCCGCCCCGCCCCTCCCTCCAGCTGTCACCTCGGGCCGCGGCCGCTTACTTCCTCTGCTCCAGTCCCAGCCAAAACATTTTATTAATTATTGCATGATTGTCGCTAAGGCGGCTTTCCACCTGAGACCCTCAAGGCGCTTGGCCTTTTAAAGCCAGTCGGTGCCAGAAATGCGCTCATTTAGTAGATAGGAAACTGAGGATCACCGACCGTGGGCAAAGCTGAGGACAGCCGGGGCCTGGGGCAGAACTGAGGCTGGAAGCGACTAGCCTGAACAGTCCAGCCTGCACGTATTTCCCTGGATGGGACTCTCACCACCCCTCAGACAGGTCCCAGGTCCAACAGGGAGGATATACTTTCCCCATGGGCGGGACTCTACCCTCTGGGGCATTCTGTCGGCATTGTCTCCTCCACAAGAATCAATGTAAGTATTCAAGTCCAGACCCGAGTTTAAGTCCAGACTTCACAGCCTACTAGCTGTGTTACCTTGGACAAGGTACTAACTGTTGCTGGTCCTCAGTATTCTCATCTATAAAATGGGCATAACAACAAAAACATCCCATAAGGGTTTGTAAGCTTCAATACCATGGAGCTGGCATGCAGTAGGTGCTCAGCTAGCAGGAGGCTTCTTTATTTCTCTCTCTTTTTTCCCCAAAGATTTCCTAACTCAAATTCCAGGGACAGGTCTGATGCTCTAGCTGGACACTTTACAGAATCCTAGCATCTGGATCCTCTTTTTCACAGCTAGGTAGACAGAACCTAGAAGGGGCAAGGAACAGGGCCAAGGTCACAGTACACACCCACAGTTCCTCTTCCTCCGTTATCCCAGCATACCCCACCACTCTGTGGGCATCACGGTGAGAAGGCTTGGCAGAAGGATCTGAGATCCTTGTGCCAGCTCCCAGACATCTCTGGGTGCCAGGTGGGAACCATGCCAGGAGGGAGAGGTGAGACCTGCTGGGTGCCCCTCCTCCCTTCATGCCAGAGCTGTTCCCATGCTCTGCTGGGACCCACGCCAGCTGCCCCGGGGAGACAGAGCAAGCCAGGGCAGACTTGGGGAGGGACTGGGCCCCTGAGGGTGCTGGGGCCAGCTTTAGCCTTCCCACCACACCAGATGCAGGCCCCTTGGTAACTACCTAGACAGGCAAGAAGACATGAGCCATGGGATTATTAGCAAGAGGGATGGGGTCAAGATGGAGATTTGGGGTCCAATTGCCCAGAGAAAAGTAGACTTTCTGGTGGTAAAAAATGAGAGGAGCTGCAATGGGGTTCCATCCTCCACTCCCAGGCTCTTCCTCCCTGTGTGCCCTGGGCCCAGCGACTTACCACGCTTGTACCTCCTGCCAGCACCTTACTCCCAAGCCTCCCAGCCTGTACTCAGAACAACAAACACTGTGTGACCCTGGAAACAGGGGAAGCACCTTAAATCGGGAGAATTGAGTTCAAGTCTCACTTTTTCCATGCTGTAACCTCAGACAAAACTCTGGGCTTCTCTGGGGCTCTGTTTCCCATTTGCACAGCAGGATGACCAGATCAGACTGTTTCTGAGGACATGTCCAGTTCCAGCAGGAAGTGAATGACCAGGATTGGTGACCAACACTGCAGATCTCAAGATGAACGCACTGATGGGGAGGCCAAGAGAGAGGACACAGTGCAGTGCCGTCCTCCAGTGATAGGCTGGACAGAAGCATGGAATAGGAGGACGGGTGAAATGGTGGCCAAAGTTCCAGGGCTCACTGACCAGCTGGCACTGGAGCTTAGGGAAGAGATGGTGAGGGAACCTAGGCTTCCGGCTTGGTGTTGGCAACGGAAGGGGAGTCAGCTGGGCTAGATGGAGTTTGGATTTGGTGCACCTCATGCGAGGGGTCCAGCATGCAGCTGAATTCACAGGGGAGATGTCTGAGCTTGCCCTGTCCCAGCCCTGGGAGAGGGGCCACCACACAAGGTCGCCTTTCCCAGCCCCTCTGCTCCAAACCCTATAGCCTGAATGGTCAGGAGGTTTGCTGAGCCTATGATGGTGAGTTCCCCGGTCTGCTCCAGTGTCCTTAGAAAGCTTCCTCTGCAATCCCATCCCCTGTTCTCTCCCTTAGGCAGCTCCTGTGCCTTCCCCAGTCACAGCAGGGCTGCCTGGGTCACCCCTCTCTCCTCCTTACTGGATTCTGAGTGTCTTGGTCATTCTAAAGGACAAGGCCAAGCACAATATCTGCAGATAGAAACCTCCAATGATGTTGTTGCTCTGGCAAATCATTAAATGTAGACCTTCTGTAAGTGAGAGAGGGGTCCAGGGCCGGTTCATCCAGGTGACTACCAACCCATCCTTCTACTGTGACAACCTTTGAAAGTGTCAGTGCCTGCCTCAGTGACTCTGCCTTCCTCAGCTGGGCACATTGATCAGCAGTTCCAAGAGCCCCACAGGTTGAGCTCAGCCCAGGCCCTGAGCTCCTCCCAGTCAAGTCAGCAGGAACCCCTTCCCTATACCCCATTGGTAACAAAAGGTGAGGTTTCTGTCTCTGCAATCCCCCTGCCTACTGCTGCTGAGCCCCACCCACTGTTTAGAAATCCAGAGCTGACTCCTACCTGAATCACTCAGGGACCCGGCCCCACCCAGCCCCACCTCTGTGGGCAGGTTCACAGTCAGGCAGCAACGCTCTGGAATCAACCCAACAACTCTTCAAATTCCAGCCCCAAGCCCCCATCCCCAGCTCTTATTCAACAGCCAACTGCCCTTTGTGGGCCTCAGCTTCCCCATCTGTAAAGTGGGGTTAATAATTCTGTCTTCATAAGGGGTCATTGTGAGGATGACATAGTCTGTGTGAGCATCCCCAGCTGTCAGTGGGAGCTCAGTGTGGGTTCTTTACTGCCTCTCCCCTACTTTCCCTTCCTGAGCAAGAAGGTTCCATGGAAAGTTCTCTTTACCTGCTTAGTCTCCATGCTAGTTTATGTGAAAGGGAAAATTCAGGCCTGAAAGATTTCCCTAGATCATGCAGAGGGAGTAGCTTACAGTTGGACCGCTTTCTAGGCAGCACTCAAGATACTGAGGCTTTTGGGTACATCATCTACCTCAGTCCCATGAGGTAGATTTTCTTCTGGTTCCTATTTGTATAAACAGGAAAACCAACTGACTTGCTAAAGGCCACAGGCTATTAGGTGGTGGAGATGGGATTTGAGCCCTGATCTGTTTGATTTCAACATCACAAGCTTAATCAACTACCTGCTACACCCTGTGGCTGGTTCTCTTGGATCTTCAATCCTGTGTCTTTAAAACAAACACTCAAATCCTGGAGACAGCAGGCCAAGAAGAAAGATAAACAAGTGAGATGTTGGAAAGTGGAGAGTCCCCAAGCTCATCTGGGGAGTTTCCACTGCAGGGTCCCCTGTCCTACAGACCTCAACACTAGGCAGCTGTCGCCATCAGATTGGCACAGGGTGGCTGAGTGCTCATGCCACTGGTATTCTCCCACTCTCCACCATCAGAGTAATCTGCAGAACATCAGACATCAGCTCCTGGGATCAGGAGGCCCAGCTGCCTGTGACGGAGGAGCCCAGGGAGAGAGCAACTGTCTGGCTAAGGAACGGTAATTGCTCAAGAGGTTACTGGGGTTGTAAAATGTCAATCCCTCCGCCCTCTCCTTCTGCCACAGTTAAAAGAAGAAAAGCTTTCCACGGCCCTCCTTCAGCAGGTAGAATACTCTCCTAACTCTGCTGAGAACCTTCGGAAGCTCCCAGCAGCCCCCAGACGTCAGCCTGGACTTCAAGGCCCATCATTTGCTAAGCAGCAGGTTGTCACAGAAGAGCCCTGGAACAAAGACCCAGAAGACCTAACTTCTTGTAGCAGGACCCCCTAGAGTCACTGTGTGGCCTTTGTCAAGTTACTCTCCCTCCTGGACCTCAGTTTCCCTACTTGTTAGATCAGTCTGTTGAACTAGACCTGCTCAAGGTGAGGAGCAGATTCTGGAGTCAGGCAGACGTAGGTTCAGAGCGCAGATTCAGCGTTCTAGCTGTGTGGCTTGAAGCGAGTTATTTGTCTCTTCTGAGCCTCAGTTTCATCACCTGAGAATGAGGATAATAATAGTAGATTATTGTGAGGATAAGATTCACTTAATCTAGTTCCTAGTTGTCAGGAGGCATTGAGGAAGTGATCATTACTGTTGGAATAATTGTAATTAAGAATTATATAATTAATTCTGTCACTATGGTCTTCTGAGGTGTGAGGGCAGGAAATGTTCTAGACCCCTAGAAAGAATTTAAGAGAAGATGGTTGCAGGCAAGTGCTAGCTTACTGTGTCAGGAACGCACCTGGGAGCTGGGGGTTTGGCCCAGTGGCAGAGTGCTCACCTAACATGCACAAGGCCATGGATTCGATCCCCAGCACTGCCAAAAAAAAGAAAAAAGAAAAGAATGCATTCGGTTGCATGTAACAAAACTCCCAAACATAGAGGTTTAAACCTAAGAAGGGAGAGGGGACTCTTTTCCTCAAGTGACAGTACAGAGGTAAGCAGCACAGACGTGCTCAGTCATGCCTTCAGGGGTCCAGGCTCCTTCCATCTTTGTGCTCCACCATCCCAGAATGTGCTGCGATGCATCCTCATACATCTACCTCAGACCCCTGTTCCAAGCAGGAAGGGGTGGGGAGGAAACAGGCAGCCCTGCAGATTACAAGGTACATCTCTTTCACCAGAACTGTGTCACATGGCCTCATCCAGAGGCAAAGGAGGTTGGGAAATGGAATTTGGGGGACAGCAGGCAAGGCACAATGAGTTGGAAATGGAGATGGGGACAGTCAGCCATCAGTATCCACCAGACTCTAACAAGAGTCTCTTTCTGGTGTGGACTGGGGTTCTGATGTGTAGCTTCTCAGAAAAAATCAGGAACAAATAGATGCTTCAGACTTCAAGATGAGCAGCCTTTTCCTGTCCCAGAATGACGTCTGGGAATTGCAGGACCCTAGTGAGTCTCAGCCAAGAGTTCCC